TGGGTGGGGTTTCTGCTTTCCCGTTTCTAGAGCCCTGCATCGGAATGATTTAGTAAAAGGCTTTTGCTTTTAGTCAATCTGCCTTCAGTTGGACAGATACAATTTTACTTTGTGATAGTTCAGTTGGAATTTTTTCTGGCCTGAGCTATCTTGTGTCTTGTGAAGGAGAATGGAATATAAATGCATTTTACATACAAACATATTCCATCTCTGTGTTAAACTGGTTGAGAAAAAAGCATCAAAGTTCTGAAATTACTCTCAGGTTTTCCAAAGCCATACAATTTGCTCTTCAAACGTTTTCAGCGTTTCAGATTAATCTGGATAAAATATTACAGATTTCAGTTACCTTAAGATTAAAAATTAAAATGATATTTTCATGGATGTTTCTGTGCATATGAATAGACAAATATATATTTTAGCTCTAACCAGCCTCCCCTGCAAAAAAGCATATAACAAAATAAAGATGAACAAAAACAGAAATTACACTTGACCAAAATTAAAGCTAGTGCCTTAAAATCCAAGGAACAGGGTTTAAAATCTCAAAACCCACCTTTAAAAGCTGAGTGGAATAGCCATGTTTTCACACCTACCTGAGTATCACCAGGGAGGGGAGTAGTTTTACTTCCTTGTGTGGGGGGCAGTGCCATCTCAGGAGTTGCTGCCAGGAACAGTTCTTGTCCTCTGCTCCCACAATCCTCTCTGGTAGAGATGCAACAGGGCTTCCAAAGAGGAGGTCCAATTAGAGGAGGAGATGTGTAACCTGCGACCGTCCAGGGTTTTTGGATTCTGGCTGTCCTCATTCTTCAGCTTGCCAAATGAAATAGTTGCTCTCCTACAGGTTTCTGTGTCAATTCTGATTTCCTTTGGCTTAGATATTTCATGGTCCTTGTCCAGGAGATGGCTTTGAAATTAGACCAGGGATTCCTAGGAGCTCTCATTGAACTCTTCACTCCATCTACAGACACAGAAGCTGAAAAGCAAAAGGTAATACCTGCTTAAGAAATTGGTTCTCTACCTTCAATTGGGAGACAGGTTTTCAAAACAAGAGAGGTTAAAAAAAAGGGGGGGGGGAATTTGCACTTTTAAAAAAGTAGGCACTGAAAGGGTTGAGGATATTAACCAAAGCAGTTTCAGTAAACAAATATAAAAATCTGTTTGTCTTAGTATGTTTGTGCTTGAACCCAGTTGAGGGTATTTCTTCAAAATTATTTCTGCTTTAACAGATGAAGTTGATACAAAAGGATATTGATGCTCTTAACACAGAGTTGATGGAGTCATCCCTGACAGATGTATCCACTCTTAGTTTCTTTGAACATTTCCATATTTCTCCATTGAAGGTATGTTTTCAAAGGGCAGCTCCTCCCCAAAAGAGAGGGCTGTTATGCTGATCACCCGCAGGTTTGCAGTAAGGCTTCCCCTGGAACATCGTGGCCCCAGGACAGTTGAAAGTGCCAGTGCTTTTGCCCAAGTGCCTTAGTTACACCAGAGCCAAGTGCCGGTGCTTTAGAGCCAAAAGCACTTATTTCCTCCAGCGAGCACCGCCTGAGACCACTCCTCTGGGAAGAGCTACACGTCCCCTTTCTCATTTTCCTCGTTTACATCCTTACATGAGCTCAGTAGGGAGAAAATGGCTTCGTTATCTTTGTTGCATTCTCGCTCGGCTTCCATATATGGAAGACTTTAATTTCTTTCTCCATTAGCTAGCTAACTAGATGGAAGAAAACATCTCCTGGGTTAATTCAGAATAATTTGTGGAACCTGCCTGCCTTAAATTTTATTTTTTTACACTTTTGAGCCTAAAGCTTTGTCTTAGAGGACCACAAATTCCATAATTTGCTTTTCATTGTCATGGCCATAATAGATGTAGAAGGCATAATTTCTAGCTCCATTTTTCCCTGTCCCCCAAGTGGGTTTTTTTAATCTTTAAATGGGTTTGCCTTTAAATCCTTAAGTTCTGTGCAGAAATGTTAAGTTGAAAATTCAGCAGGCTGTTCCACACTGAATTCTTTGATTTTTTTTTCCATCTTAAAAGGATACTAACAGGACTGAAAGCCAGGTTTGAAATATGGTTGATATTGAACTTTTGTGAAAGGAGACAAATTCACTAGAAGCAAACCCATGAAAAAGCTGGCAGGAAGTTTTGAGTTACTGCAAAATTTCGATCGTTTTTTTTTTTAGTTCAGCAAAGCTTAATAGCTAACCACCCAAAATGGCTATTTTAGGGGTTGTTTTCTGTCTTGCTAGCTACATTTGAGCCTTTCCTTGGGCTCTGGCACAGAAGCGTCCGAGACAGGCAAAGGCGATATGATAGCCATCCATTCAGTGAATCTGCTCTTGAAGAGCATTGGAGCCACCCTGACAGACGTGGATGACCTGATCTTCAAGTAAGTGACTCCAGTGTGTATCTCAGAAGCTTCCTGGGAATAGAGAGAGGCAACGCAGGGACCTCCAGGTAGTTTGGACCATGACTCACATCCAGCAGGTCAATGGGTCAGAGATTATGGAAGGATGTATGTATGTATACATTTATTTACTGGGCTTACATGCTGCTCCTGTCATGCCAGATTTGGAGCAGCAACCCTACCCTATTCCATAAACAAGGTTTAAAAAATCCACACAAAACACACATAACAACAACATTGAAATTACACTACCCTGCTAAGGAACAGTACCCCAGCTCTGCTTAAATAAAGCCCCAAACCACAAGAGGAACTGAAATTCATAACATCTCTATCCACAAAGGCTGTTGGAGAAGCCAGGCTGCAGTAGGTTTTCTAAAACCCAACAGGGGTTGGCGCCATGGAGCTCTCAGGTGGTAGGGTGCCTCCAAAGTCCCTGCAAGAAGGGACTGGGAAGGAGCTCCTTCTGCCTGCCCAGTTCAGAGAGGGGTGACCCAGAGATATCCAGGTCCTGAGCCATGAATGGTTTTAAAGGTGACCACCAGCACCTTGTACTTCAGACATCTGGAGGGCTCCACATCGTCCCTGGATGAATGTTTGCGGAACTGGTCACTTCTAATTTCCTCGCCACTGCATGTGTGGATTCCTTTGGAAACTCCAACCTAGGCCCATTAGCAGGGGAAGGAATTAGTGGCAGATCTTCTCATGAAGATTTTAGCCATGTAGAGAATGAATATCCCACACACTTAAGTGGTGAGGAACATCGGTTGTGAAGTCCCTTGCCCAAATCTCATCTCGACCATGAATCTGCTTTCTGGACGGCTTCAGTAGAATGGGGTGGAGGTAGTTTGCTCTGCAAGGTTGCTGTATAGAGTGGTGTATGTAAGATTCCTGAAATACAAAAGGACAGTAGATTTCTAAGCAATGGATAACCATTATTCTTCATGAGATTGTTTATGTGCTGCTTTCAGGCTGGCTTTCTTCGAAATCAAGTATCAGTTTTACAAAAGAAATGAATTGCTGTGGAGAGTCATTGGCCATTACAAAGGGCAAGTGAGTAGTCCCTGTTCTTTGCCCCTTCCTCCCCCTTGTATATGTACCACTAGCAAGGGCAGCATGGAACCATTGCCGTTTCTCATCTAGTTAAGGGTTGTTACGTTTGACCTGTGAATCTCTTCACTCTCCTTTCCTGCTTTCAAGATACACCTATGTATAATTTCAAACCCTCATTTTTTGTGTTCCTTTTTTTTTTTTTAGTTCCTGAAGCAGATGTATGTTCTTGTGCTGGGACTGGATGTCCTGGGTAACCCCTTTGGCTTAATCCGAGGCCTTTCGGAGGGTGTGGAGGCTTTCTTCTACGAGCCCTTCCAGGTGTGGCACCAGAGCATCGTGGAGCGATGGTTGAAAGAACTTGAGCAGAAAATATTGAAAGCTTGTGTCTGGATAGGTACCCCCCCCCAAATCCTCCCTCCCAAATGTATTTTTAAGAGTGCTGTGTTTCAGATAAAAGCACTGAAGGCAAACAAGCCACAGGGTTACCGCCTGCGTGTCTCGTTTGGGGGGAGGAATCCATGAAATCTTTGCTCTCCTTCATGACCACTTGCTCAGTGCTGTTGCCAGTTGTGCGATAGGAATCAGAACGTGGAATTTACCTGAACGCTCATTTCCCCCTCTAGCTTTTCCCTGGGTGTTCCAGCAAGGAGCATATGCTGGTAGCCGTGCAGTTTTAAGTAACTTATTGCAGGTGTTCAGCTGCCACCTGAGCTGTCTAAAGCCACAATTGGCAAGAGTGGGGCGCTGGGTGTGCACTGAACACTTTGTTTCGTTCTCAAAATCCAAAAGCACATGTAATTTCTGTTTAGGGAGCCGTCCAAGGGCCTGAAGAGTTTGCTGAAGGGATTTTGATTGGCGTGAGAAGTCTTCTCGGCCATACTGTCGGTAGGTGGAGCACCTCCAACGGGAATGACCTGGAGAAGCTTTCTTGAGCTGCTCTCGATCAGCGGTATGTACGCTTCCCTTAACTTCTCTCCCTTGGCTCGCAGGTGGCGCAGCAGGCGTGGTGTCCCGCATCACTGGCTCGGTTGGAAAAGGTTTGGCTGCCATCACTATGGATAAGGAGTATCAGCAGAAGAGAAGGGAGGAGATGGGACGTCAGCCGAAAGATTTTGGGGACAGCCTTGCCAAAGGTGGAAAAGGCTTTCTGAGGGTAGGACGCTTTAGATACTCCTTGGACTTCTGCTTTTTTCTACTATGTTAAATTAACCCCAATCCATATTGCATTGGTTGTGTTTTGGGTCTGTTTCATTTTCTGTGCTTGTTAGTAAAAAAAAAAAAGGCAACCTATCAAAGCAACAAAAATAGAACTATTAATTACATGCAGTAACATTTTGTTTTGATATCTTTTTCAAGTGGATTTTCTGTTAGGTTTTCCATAGACATTTGGGGGACAAAACGTACCATCCATCTCTGTGCCCTTTGTGCATGAGTGGGTGAGGGTGGCGGGAGCACCTGCCTGAAGATGGGGAATGAGTTATTTTGCTCCCGAGAACAAGCTCTTGATACCTGTGTACAAATTGTCTTCGATGGCTGGAGTGTCTCCCACTCGGCAGCAGCAGCAGCAGCAGCAGCAGCAGCCCAGTGATGATTTTAGAAAGAGGGGTGGTAGAGTGTGCACTTAGGAGTAAATTTTTAATATTACAGTCTGAGCAGCTTTTTCTGTCGATCAGAGTCCTCAAAATGTCCTAGAAACATGAAGCAGGGTTGAAATTCCCAGGCCCTGTTTGGTTCCTGCTGCCGAGCCAGAAGACGGAGGTTCCAGCCTACTCCTGGGAGGCTTGAGAATCGCCCGCCTTGTAGGGCTCCGATACCTCGGCTCCCTGTGGCTGAAGCTGATTCCAGCTGGGTCAGATGGGCGTTAATGGAGGGGTTCCTAGAATATATCTCTACTCTTCTCATATCTAATAGAAGTTAGTTTCTCATATTCCTTTTCTTTACAAAAAGAGGATTATTATCTTGTTTTTTACATACTGGGTTGTATGTCTGGGCAGACTTTATCATCAGAATTTCTGGTTCTGGTGAATTCATGGACTGTGATGGAATGGAATTATGAAGGCCAGGCTCAGGGAGATAAACATTTTCTTAGCTCAC